TTTTAAATGAAGTTTTTTATTATTAAGGGGAAAAAAAAATCCAAACCTACATGGCCCTGTGTGAAAAAGTGATTGCCCCCTAAACCTAATAACTGGTTGGGCCACCTTTAGCAGCAGCAACTGCAATCAAGCGTTTGCAATAACTGGCTTGGATGTTGTTCTGGGGTCTTTTGTGACCTCTTGGATGAGTCGTCGCTGCGCTCTTGGGGTAATTTTGGTCGGCCGGCCACTCCTGGGAAGGTTCACCACTGTTCCATGTTTTCGCCATTTGTGGATAATGGCTCTCACTGTGGTTCGCTGGAGTCCCAAAGCTTTAGAAATGGCTTTGTAACCTTTTCCAGACTGATAGATCTCAATTACTTTGTTTCTCATTTGTTCCTGAATTTCTTTGGATCGCAGCATGATGTCTAGCTTTTGAGGATCTTTTGGTCTACCTCACTTTGTCAGGCAGGTCCTATTTAAGTGATTTCTTGATTGAGAACAGGTGTGGCAGTAATCAGGCCTGGGTGTGGCTAGAGAAATTGAACTCAGCTTTCCAAAGATGTGATAAACCACAGTTAATTTATGTTTTAACAGGGGGGGGGAAATCACTTTTTCACACAGGGCCATGTAGGTTTGGATTTTTTTTCCCCCTTAATAATAAAAACCTTCATTTAAAAACTGCATTTTGTGTTTACTTGTGTTATCTTTGTCTAATATTTAAATTTGTTTGATGATCTGAAACATTTAAGTGTGACAAACATGCAAAAAAATAAGAAATCAGGAAGGGGGCAAACACTTTTTCACACAACTGTAGTAGATTAAGACAATGGTTTTTTTTGTATTACAATTTTTAGTTTGGATATGCAAATGAGGCATTATATAATGCTAACTCAAATAGACAAATTAGTAAAATAAGCCGCTAAGTTTGTTTTTTGGATGCTTGACAGTAGACATGTTATGGAAGCAAAATAGCCCAAACTCTCAAGAAAAAAAGATCACTTTGACTGTAGTGCCTTAACACATAAAGAAAGACTATAATGAAGATGCACTTGTCACCATAACATCACACTACGTTTTGGCAGGTTATCCAGAAATGGTACAGTCAGTCAAATACATCCATGATTGGCAGTAGTATTTGGAAAACACCTCCATGATCTCATTTTTCACTAACAGCTGACAACCAACAAAAAATATGGTCGGAACCGATCAGGGCCTCAACATTTTTTTGTCTTACTGATGCCAATCAATAAACTTGAATGTCTGACCCAGAGTAAAAATCTGGTCACGGCTGGCTGCACAATTTATGAGAGCTCTGTTCGAATTTTGACAGCGGACATTTAAAGCGGTCGGGTCCACTGCAGCTGATCCTCATCTTGAACCAAACCACCTCATCTCATTACAGGCTATCAAAGTTCTGGTCAGACAAAAAGGAGGAACATTATATTTTACTTACAGATTTAATACGCTTATGACAATTTGTACGGAAAATCAAAACTTGTTTTAATGTAATGTATTACAGTCACTTTTATCCAAAGCAACTTACAATTCAGTATTGATCCATACACAGGTATGGCACAGCTACGGGAGAAATGTGGGGTTAAGTGTCTTGCTTGAGGACACATTGACATGCGACTAGTGGAGCCGGGGATTGAACCACCAATCCTCTGATTGCAGGACGGCCCTGCTCTCCACTTGGCCACGGTCACCCATCTTATCTGTTAATTATAGATAAGTTAATTGTATGCTATTGATCCAATATCTCTTCCATAAACAGCACAGTGTTTGTTATTACAACACTGCCAGATCCCCAAATAAATGATATTTAACACTCTGGAGGACATTAGCTGGTGCAGCTCAATGTCAGCCTACTTCAAAACAACTTTGCTCAGAATAATTCCTTTAGAGCGGCGTCATTTTAAATGACATTTTAAATTTTGATCCCTTAATATAAAGAGCTGTCTACTTTCGACTACTCATCCCAGACTGTATGATGTGAGCAGTTCAACGAGGAGTGATTTCCCCTGACTTCTTGTTCCTTTGCCTAGTTTAAGAAGCCTCTAGGGATAAAACTATGCACTATTTAAGAGTAGAAAAGACAAAAGGAAGGTTAGAAAGACACAATTTAGTTTTGCAGAATTTAGTTTTTTCTCACTTTGTACTGTAGCTTGTGGAGCATAACTTATATGTTCTGAAGTCAAACCTTTGCCCTTCAAACCTGTATTTAGTAGAGTAGTACTCACTACTATGTGGGCGATTGTGGCTAAGTGGATAGCAGGGCCGTCTTTCAATCAGAGGGTCGGCGGTTTGAGCTCCGGCTCCGCTAGTCGCATGTCGATGTGTCCTTGAGCAAGACACTTAACCCCGAAATTGCTCCTGTAGCTGTACCTACGGTGTAGAAATGTGATAGACTCTGAATTGTAAGTAGCTTTGGATAAAAGTGTCTGATAAATGACTGTAACGTAATGTTGTCTCTGTGTATGTGACACTTTGAGTCACAAACATAAGGAGCCTGTTTCAAATGACTACCATCCCGCACCTACTACTAGCATAAAGTGAGACTTTGTAGCTTTTGACAGAATAACTAACTCAATTGTCCTTTTACAAATGAAAACTTGAATTAATAAATAATTGAATGCGTCATTGCTGAATCCAGTACTCTTGGATATTTTACTGTCATAGCCTTACTTGTTCTGGTGTGCCCATAGCTCATGGTGGCTAATGTTAGCAAACAATGGCTAATGTATAAGTTAGCAAATTTTAGGTCAGTATTGGTGTGTGATGGACATTACTGAGTCAGACTTAATGACTCAGTAATAACAGACTATTTCCCAGCATTGTGCTTGTGTTACAATAGCACAGCATTTTAGGTAAATGCTAAGACGTAGTTTAGCATTTTCCTTTGTAGCTGCAGTGGCAACTGTTCAGCAAAAGTGACATAGTCTCATTTTAGCAGATTTTCAAATGAGAACAAATGTCAAAGGTGCAGTTGTTTGGAAACATATACATTTTAATTCATATTAAAATTCATATAAAATGTGGAAAGTACACATTTTGGACGGAGAATGAACATATGCCAATTAGGCTACATAATAGGGACTGTTTGGTTAAATACTGAAGCAAATACGAGTAAGACTGCTGAACTCAGCAGCATTTGCTTGTCCTTAAAACACTTGAATCGTGCCGCTCGTTGAAGTGATTTCACGGTCAGTTCTTGCATGCAATCTGAAGTTGCCAAGGACACAGAACACCAAGTTTATGGGAATTTAAGAAGGACTAATTCCTTTACTGGGGGAATGCCATGTTGTTGAAAGAGGACGCCAAGCATTCTGAGTGGTGCAATATGTCTCTTTCCACTTCGGGGAGCAGTTGGATCGACAGACACAGTTGGCAATTCTCGCTCAAGAGCTGATTCAAATTTTGGCGACTAATTGTAGAATCCCAAGAATAGAAAATAAAATGAGTTGCTTTCCACTTCAGGAATGAGGGATGTTCTCCACTAAAAACTTGCCCAAAGTGGAATAAGGAAAGATGTCCAATAAAGCCTTGATCTCAGGGAGCAATGGACCATGGTGAGTCACTCCGTCTCAGCAGAGACTATCCTCAACAGTGGAAAGTGCATGCACCCATATACCCATGTAGGGGATTAGGATGACTTTGTAACCATAAATTGAATTTTGATTTATTAAAGCACAACCTATTTTAGAGTTTGCCATATGGCTGACCTTACAGTGTAACCACAACCTCGGGAAATGTGACTCATGGTCGACACTGCAGAGAAGGGAAAAGAACTCAAGAAGGAAAGAGAAACGTCAAAATGTTCAAATCATGAAAAAAAGATGAGCCTTTTCATATAGCTCTTGCATGTTTGCTTTTTCGACAACAAAGAATGAGTCGGCATTAACAGGAGGGAGCAGAGTGCTATTTCTTTTGTGAGATAATTGAGTGTTTACATAGTCCCTCGGAAAAGGTCTGGAAAAGCCTCCCTGACCGGAGTGAATCATCCTAATCACGAGTACTCTGATGCTGAGAGGTAAAACAATGTTGATGGTTCGCAATAAACTCTGTAAAAGCTGAAAAGTCTGAGGGCTGCCGGAGAGCTTTGAAGTAAGATCTCACCTACCACCATTTCACAACTCCTCTTGTTTTGTTTTGTTCTTATTAGGGAGCCGGCAAACACTTCAGGCACATCAGCCAGAACTAAGTAAAGAATACATCAAAACCGCCGCTGCGTACCTGAGTGTGTGCATTTGTTTATCCTTGTCATACACATACGGCTAACAGGGTGCATTGTTAGCCAGCAGCAATGCACAATTTCTAAATTGCATCTACAGAGTCAGCTTCCAGCTTGTCAAAGCTTGTGACCTAGAAAAGGTGGCAAAAAAACAAAGTTTTTTGGGTCAGGAGCTTTTTCCACGACGGTCTCTCCCCCCTTTCTCACGTAAGCATGCAGAAAGGATTCTTGGACTGGCAGGTAATGCAGGAGGGCCAGTTTTAGAAGGCATCAAATATTCATGGGAGTCTACGAAGTGCTGGCCAGGATTCGTGACCCGCAGGTATACGTTGCTGCCTGTGCTCCTTTATCAACGTGTGGCTGCATAGACCCTGAGGGGCTGGATTATTCATAGTGGTATGATTGGTTATGTGTGTGGGGGGAGCAAGGCCGTCTTTTGGGCACAGTGATGTAAAATCATGTGTCAGGCTGAGAGTTCATTGCTCCCACCAGTGGGAGTGCTTCATTTGTTCATGAGTTGTTTGCTCAGGTGTATTGTATCTTGGCTTCAGACTGGACAAGAGGACATTCAGGGCATCATATCGCATTAACTGGACGGGAGCTGGTCCTGTGAGGTCCTCAGTGGTGTGTTCCAGAAACTTCTAGTCATCTGATTCTCCAAAATGAAGCCAAGGGATGAGAGAGCGAGAGAGAGAGAGAGAGAGAGAGAGAGAGAGAGAGAGAGAGAGAGAAAGAGAGAGAGATCTCCCATCCTTTTCCCCACCCTCACTATTCACCCACACCTCTCCTGTTTTTTTCCCCATATCTAGGCTACTCCAAACTCCAACCCAGTTTAAGTAATTGATGGAGTGGAGGAAGGAGACTTTCACTCGGTAGAGCAGCAGCTGTCAGCCAACAGGGTTGCAATAAGGAAACGTCGCCCGAGGGGGATCGAAGCAGACACGGGAGAGCAGCAGCGGAGACGAGGAGAAGGCGAGGAGAAGGCGAGGAGACTGCTTCAGGTGTTGTACGAGTCGCGATGGAGGCGCGCGGCGTGCGTGATTAGAGGGGAGCTCACCGCTTCTGGAAAGCACTCGCTTTGTTAAGGTGGATTACAAAGTGAAAAAAAACAAAAAATAAAACGCCTTTGTCTAGCTGTCTACTTCACGTGGCTGGATTACCTTAGAACCATGAACGTGTCGCCCCCGGACCGCAGGAAAAACGTGCGGGAGCTGGCTTTGGAGATCGGCATCCGCGTCATGCTTTTCGGAGTTTTTGTGTAAGTATGCAAAGTCTCGAAAATCTGGCATTGTGCGCCCTGGCGATGTCATTCGGTTGATGTGACTGTCGTTATCCGTGTGCCTTTTTAACATGCTTGAGACACCGAACTGCTGCGTTCAGGGCGGTTTGTGACGCTGTCCGGTCTCCCGTGTTGAGCTGCGGAGCTGGCACATCGCTGCTAAACGACCAGGACAGTAGACGGACGCTGCGGTAACAGGTTGCAAAAAAACAAAACAAGTTTCACTTCACGTCACGAATCAGCGTGACACTATTATTTGATGACTCACATTACAGCCCAGATTATCTCACAGAGGCTGATTAGAGATGGTTAGAGGGACAGAGGCGGCTTCTTCGACCACTTCACTCCACAACAAATAGATCTAATTGAAGCAGCCCAACGCAGACACATTGAGATCTATGTACAGTACTTTTTTGTTGTTGTTGGCAGCATACACCTTGCGAGAAGGTTGTGCCTCTCAGACGCACCCTTCAAAAACGAACAGAAATATAAATTATTAATTTGTTTGTCTAGCCTGGGGGCGCTAAGCATTGTTTGGAATCACGATTGTGTCATATTTATTTATTCTCTGCTTCATGTGATCTGATTTAAAAAAAAGGCCCGGGTCCTGTTGTCTGAACTGGCTCACACATCGCTGCTCTTTCATTCTATCTGCGGGAGAAAAAAAGAAAAAGAAGAAGAAGAAGAAGAAGAAGAAGAAGAAGAAGAAGAAGAGAGAAGTAAAAAAAAAACAGCAACGCTGTCTGCATAGTCTGTGTACACACTGTCGTTAAAATCTGTCCTCGGGCTCCGTGGTCCAGCTGTATGTGTGCGGTGCTGTCACCCTTTAATTAAAAGGATCGCAGAGCCAAGAAGAGCGTTGATGCTGCATGGTGCACGGTGTTAGACACGGAGGGTGGAGGCTCACCTGGAGGGATGAGACCAAAGCATGAACCGTGCCTCACTGATGCAGACCCCTCTGCGAGACTCTCGTTGTGGCTGATTTGTTATTGCGTTACGGAGTGCTCCAAGCCAGAAAAAAAAGAAGAAATTTCACACAATATCATCATCATCATCAACTCGCTGCTGCGCTGCCACAGAAGCCCCTGTCACAAAGTCCTTGGTCGCTGTAATGAATTGAGTTTTACTCGTGAAAGCACGCTGAAGGCTCCTACGCCGAGTTTGCAAAGGGGCATCTTGAGTAAACCTGATCTGCTTTGTACGAACTGTACAGTATGCCCTCATTAAATGAACTGATTGTGGTTCCACTTCCTCAGCGTGACACAGACATACTGGTGAAACACAGAGCCACGAATTCCAAATTTGATTTTGTGGCTAATTGTATTTTTGGCCTCTGTGCTCAAGATTGAGGGGCTTTCTATCTTTGATAGCAAAAGCTATCATATGTTTTGACAGAGGGAGTGGTTGGCCTAATAGATTTCTGTGGGACCAGCAGTGATTGTTGAGCTATAGCTTTTTGCCTGAGGCATCAGAGAGAGAGAGCTGCTCTCTGGCCCTGTGGGGCAGTGGTCCCCTGTTCTTGTTACACCTAGTAGCCCGAGGTGAAGGCAGGATAATTTGGGTCAACCAGAATCAGATTTTATTTTTTTCTTCACTGGAGGTGTAAATGAGAGTTTTGTGTCCGCTGCTCAGTATAGATGTAATATCCCTGTTTCCCTTGTCTTTCCTTGCGCCAATGCTCATTTAAAATCCTGCTTCTACCGTTAGAAATTCATCTTATTGCTTTCTACCTCTGCAGCTCAGTATTAAATTTGGAAGAAAAAGAAGGAACCCATTTTTCATTCGCTGTTCATATTCCTTCATATTTGTGGACAAGTAAGGGTTGTTGAAATTGAGTTCCTTAATCCTTTAGTTTGGGCTCACGAGCAGATATGGAGGCATCAGAAAGGCGTCTTCAACAAGAGATATGTGCAAGTTCTGCCATTTTTTTGATCTTTGCTTCTGATGAAATAATTCTCGTTGGTCACACAAACTGTTCTTGTTTCTCTCTGCACCACCGTTTCCGTATAAACCAAAGTGCCCTGAATTCCCTGCATTATTCACAGACATATTTCGTCAAAGATGACTAGCCTTTGAGGGAATATCACTTTTTATTTGGCCTTGCTTGACAAGCTGCCTGGCTGTTCCAGGCCTCAGGAGGTGCGCTGACCTTAAGCAACGGGCCAAGTGTGTGACGTGAGGTCGACCCTGTGCCATCAAACAGCTAACGCCATGCAGTCATCATAGCTTGGTGGGCACTCCAGGAGTCACACATCTCCCCGTAACAAAGCAAAAAAGTTCAATCTAAATGGAAATAGATCTTTAACATTTAACAAAATGGTGGAGAAAAAAAACAACAAAAGCTGAAAACTGCATGAGAAAAAGAAAAAGTTATTTTTCTTCTCAACACAGAAAGCGAGGATAATGAGATGGGTGCTATTTCACTTTACTTGTAAGCCGGAGCAAAACAAGCCAGAGCTTAGGCAAAATACACAAGAAGTCATTTCTCCCTTGAGTGGTTGTGTGGCTGAGCTCATGTCCTAAATCAATCAACGCAAGTGTTTGTGCCTCAGCACGTGGGTGGACCCTTGAATTAGCCATATTAGAATACTGTCTAAAGGGAGAACAGGAGACAAAACAAGTGGACGCAGGGACGAAAGGAAACAGACGTAGGTGATAGATAAGACAGAGGGCGTTAGCAGGATCTGGATTGTTTTAAGATTTAACAGATTAAAACCACTCTGGGAACTCTTAATCAGTGCCATCTAAAAGCAAGATGGAGCGATTGGCCAGAGAAGAGTCTGAGAAGAATAACTGGATAGAATAGATTCATTTGTGCCAAAGGGTTACAGGGTCACAGTTTGGACTCTTTTATCGCAGAGAATTATGGTGACCGAGGAGGAATTTTGTTTATTACATGTATTTGCATTGAAGCATGCCAAAAATGTCCAACGTGAGATGAGCTAGATACACTCCGACATTGACATGTTCTTGGAATTTTAAGGATAAGGATCTAGTCGTCGTCAAACGAGTTGTGCGCTCTGAAACAACACTGGTCATCCCTCAAAACACTGCGAATCATCCCCTCCTCTCAGAGGACGGCTTAGGAGCAGCCCTGGGATACGGCCCAGAGCCTTGGCAAGTCTCAGAAAGCCCTGTGAGATGTTGGGGAAGAGTAGAATGTCAAGGCCTCAGGCTGTTTAAGAATAAGCAGATTGTTTAGAATGCATGTTAAGGATGGGGGCATTCTGCTTTCGAGGAGAAAGTCTCCTTGTAAAGGATCGGTCACAGTGTCTGATATGAACTTAAAAAGGTATTTCTGATCGAGGAGAATGTTGCAGTCATTTCTGCTATTGTTATTGGATTAGTGATGAACAAAGTTAACGTTGAAATGCTTACGATTTCAATGGTGGATTTGGCGACAGTCGTGGTTATCGTGGTGACAGTTGTAATGGCACAACAAGCACTCGTGGAGCAGCTACTTAGTCAGAAATATAACAGAAGGGCAACTGGTCTGTCTGTTCACTGTGCAGCCAAACTACTGATGTTTTCATTAAATAAATGCCTTCACGCCCTTCATCAAACAGCTCACTGTGGCTGCTCCCTCTTGTTCCATTAGCTAGCCTATACCCCCGTTTGCAAAATTTTAAAACGATCGGCTGACAAAATAATGTAGAAAATGAAACGTGTTCAGTGCTAACCACAGTGACAAATACATTGTGTTTTCTGTGACTGCTTCACAATAAGAGCCACCCTGTGTCTTGCCAGTTGAACGCTTTTAATGTGAAGTAGCAGCAGCAGGATGTTGTGTTTGCAGTAGCGCAATGAGTCTTTGATAGCCTGTAAAGAAAGCAAACAGGAAACAGTGAGTTTTACCTGTTCAAGTAAATCCCTAGTGCTTAGGTGGACAATCTGAATTCAGTGCGGGAATGGCGGACTCCGCCACTGTCAATAAAAACTGCAATATATCGAGAAATAATTACAGAATATTATTAATGCATTGAACAACTATTGCAGGAAACATGCGACCTGTTTGATTTCATAAAGACCTTAATGATCCTAACTTAAAAAAAAGTATTGATATACATTTACCCAAACTTCACTCACAGCAGTTTTGAACAAAGTCCAGTGGTTTTTAAGATAGGATGTTAGTAAAGACATTTCCCTGAGAGAAAATGTTCAGCCATAGGCCACAGTTGTGAGTGCCACTTTAAAGCTCTATTAAACAGTGTTTAATATGAATCCCTGAAAAAGGGTTGCTAATACTTACAATCACCATCTCCCAAATAGGCACTCCACTCTTCAGCCCTAAAGCTTTTAGCTTTTTATTTTATCTCCCAGGTCTATATGGTTTAGTTCCAAATAGCTCCCATACCCATGGGTAAGCAAACAAGATCACGTTAATAGAAAGAGCTGAAAATGAGCTGCGGAGGAAGAAAGTACAACATCAAGCATCAGGTGGTGAGAATAAGGACTCCAATGTATACTTGTGTTGCTCACACACCTCTGTCGCTTTGATTCTGCTGGTCTGTTGCGGTCAGAAATGACGAGAGTAATCTGCTGCTTGTTTGTTTGACTATTCCAGTGCATTCTCCCACTGCGTTTCTTAATTTGGCAGCCAACATCTGAGGCACTGAATCACAGGTCATCCACTCTGTAACCCTCATTATCTCGGAGATGAAGTAAAAATTGAGATAACAGGCTCGACTGTGGCTGGAGCGACGTGGAAACACTTTTGGGATCGGATGCCATTGACACAAATTGACCAGAGACGGAGGGGTAACAATGGCCGTAAAGACTGCGGCCTCCAGGAATGCCCATTCATTTGATGTTCGTCTGAAAGGGCACAGAGCGAGCATTCATTGCTGTACCTCGTTTTGCTAAATCAACCTGATTAATTAATTAGTAGCCTTTGAAAAGTCTGGTCGGCAGTCTGGTCAGGTACATCCAATTAAACCAAACAAAAGAATAATTCGAGTACATGTGAAAGCATGAGGGGA